GTTGCCCCCCTCGTTCTGACCAGGCACCCGTGTCTCCACGGCCTTTACTCACAGGAAGCAGGAGCCAATGCCAATTGCCATAGCAAACAGGACAACAAAGAAATGCAGGATGAGCCACAGGATCGCAGTTTCTGATGAGGCCGGCAGAATCCTCTGTTTGGCTGCAGGAGGGGAGAGAGGGAGAGAGAGACCAGGAGACACCGACACACACGGTCGTTAGACAGAGCTACATCGAGATATTGTCACCGCCTCCCTCCCCCTGGACTCTGTGACCGCCGGCTCGCTCTCTGTTGGCCACTTGCTATGGAAAACAGAGACCATTCTGCCCTCTCAGCCCCCTTCTGTCTGATCTGTGGCCCATATCCCTTCAACACATTTACAGTTTTAGAGCTTTGCAGCGCTGAAACAGACCCTTCAGCCCAACCCGTCCGTGCCAACCCAGACACCCTAAACTAATCCAGTCCTATCTGCCAGCGTTTGGCCCCCTATCCCTCTCAACCCATGTCCCTATCCAGGTGCCTTTTAAATGTTACCAGCCCCCACCCACTTCCTCGTTCCACACACGCACCACCCTCTGCGTGAAGAAGTTGCCCCTGTCCCCCTCTCGCCTTAAACCTACGCCCCTCTAGTTTTATACACCCCTACCCCTGGGAGTAAACTATTCACCCTATCCATTCCCCTCAGGGCTTTATAACCCTCTATAAGGTCACCCCCCTCCGACGCTCCGGGGGAAAACAGCCCCCAGCCTCTCCCTGTCCCTCCAACATCCCTTTTCCGAACATCCTTCCTGGAGCAGGGAGACCGGGATTGGACACAGTATTCCCAAAGCGGCCTCACCAATACATGACCCTCCCGACTCCTACACTCAGCGCACCGACCCATAAAGGCGAGCGTCCCAAACCCCCTCCCTCACCGCCCTGTCTACCTGCCACTCCACTTTCAAGGAACCGTGTACCTGCTCCCGCCGAGGTCTCTCTGCTCAGCGACGCTCCCCCAGGACCTTCCCGTGAAGTCCTGCCCCTGATGGGCCTTTCCCCAAAACGCTGCGCCTCACGTTTATCTGAATTAAACTCCATCTGCCCCCCTCCTCGGACCCATCAGATCGAGGGGACGCAAACTTCAACGGAATTATGTCCCTGAACCCCCCACCCCGAGGTCTCTCTGTTCTACAACCCTACCCCAAGGCCCTACTGTTAGCTCCGCGAGCCCTGCCCCCATTTGTTTTACCAAAATGCGACACTAAATTGAACGAGATAACGGGGTGTGGAGCTGGGTGAACACAGCAGGCCAGGGCAGCATCAGAGGAGCAGGAAGGCTGACGTTTCGGGCCTGGACCCTCC